CCTTTCATATTTTCTCGACTATTTGGTTTGGCACATTGAAACTATATGAACAAGTGACAGAAATATTTGAATTTCTATATTTTCATCATCTTTTGAATTAACAACGAAATTGTGATAACATTTTTTTAATAAGAAAAACTTTCCTCATTTCTCTTAAGAAAGGAGAAGAAATTGTTAGTTTTACCTAATTATTGCCAATATAATTATAATACAGGTTGTAGGTAATAAGAAATAACATTACACGAAGCTTATTCACTCTCATTGAAAAAGAAACTTACTAACTGAACGTAGATTCTAAAACCTACGCAAAAATATACAGGAGGAACTTTCACATGTATCAAGTGAATAAAAATATTTCCTTCAGAACCTGGTAATTTATTCTTCTTTAATATTACATTAGGAAGTCACGATGTTATACAGAATACAGAACGAAAGTAAGAAAATATTAACTCTAACTGTTCTCATGCATAACTATTATGCATGGCTTTAGTCACTAGTTCACATACTGTTGCTGAATTTTTAGGGTTCTGACTTCAAGAGTTCGGTGGACCAAAACTTATTGTCAAAAACGTTTTAATGAAAATTTATCTCTCACTTTGTATATTCACATGTACTTTGCAATGATATTTAAAGGCCTGTATATAATTTTTCAGTTTAATATTATTTAAATCTATAAATGGAAAGGACTACATCAACATAGTATTTCCACCGATGTTGTGAATATTCTGTAAATTTATAGGTTTCATTGTCGCTTTATTTGCACATTACTAGTAATACTATATTTTTTACATTTGATTAAAATAAAAGTTAAACGTGTTTTACTATTTAACGTACCTATGACATTTTAATATGTTTATACTTTACATAGAACTTTTTTAAACTATTGACCTACTTGTATGTGAATTTTCGAATATTTTGCATAAAATTGTAAGACAGATTATTCTACAAATTTTGCGGTTACATTTATTTTTTTTATTGATTTAATTTCGTACTTTTATCTAATACGGTATCTACTGTGATTTTTTTCATCAAAATAAAAAATTTAAAGTTTTTCCAGGGTCTTCGTAACTGTTCCAATATAGTGGAATGAAATTGCATAAAAAACTTTCGTGGCATTTTGATTTAAACAAATTTGAGTAAGTAATTAAATATCATAGCTTTTGAGGTTCTACTTTCACCATCTAAATATGTAAAAGAAAATTGTCTTCAATATCAAGAACTTTTTCTGTGGCAGATGTTTTACATGCGAACCACCTAACACGAAAGAAATGTTATTATTTCTTCTTTTGAGGGAAAATACTGTGTATACGCAATTCGTGTTATATACATAATTTTAGTATCGACTGGAATATACCTACCTTCCCTATCTCTTAATCTCAGTAAAGTTATAATTTAGGAAAGCACATCTACGAAACTCACTTGATGGTCTACAATTATTTATATTGTTCTCAATCGAATCACTCCAAAGTTTAGTCGTCCATCCATTTTCTTTTTCCTTTGGGAGCAAAAGGGTAATTACCTACTTTGATTGATAGATTGACGCATTTCGTGGTAGTTTGAATGCGGCAATCATTCTTTTGCTGGAAATTTGCATAAGAAATCAAGCCAGACTTTATGCATATAAATAAGAATTTAGGTGCATGCAGCCCTATTTTCATTAAAATCCTTTCAAAATATAATTATCTATATCTGTACCTCAGAGCTAAACTGTATTAACTCCATTTTTTACGAAAATGGGATTATTTGACAGCCCAACACAGTTTCTTATGCTCTTTCACGTGCTAAGCAGTAATAACTCCCACTCATGATAGGTACTTTCGAAGATAAACAGTGCTAAATAATAATAAGTCCCAATCTGTCTCCAAGCTAGACAATCGTATTTAATACCAACCGTATTTCATTTCCACAGTATTAGGTTCCTTGTTACATCAATTTAGTCCGAGCCAAACAGGTGTATGTGGAGTTAATATTCTATTAGTTTGACTTCGGAGTATTAACTCCAGACAAATCAAGATCATGTTGGTTTACTTTAGTATTATATCCACATTCATCGTATATTATCGCACAATTAGTAAATATTATAATATAAAATCCCTAAATCATGTTTGTGCCAAATAGTGTTAACTCCATTTTTCGAAAAAAAAAATACGAATAGAAAATTATTCTTTAAATTACAATAAATAATATTAAAATATACGTATAACTTCACACCATACTAATTTTTTATCAAGGAGAAGTAAGAGTTCGAAGTTATGGAATGATAAGCAAAATTTAAATCTTTAAATCTCTCTCCTGTAAAATTTCATTTTTGGCACTTAATACAGTTTAGCTTTGAAGTACAGATATTCTGTCTAAAATATAGACGTAAAAGTTAAGTTTTAGTTTTGCCATGTCGAGCAGATGAATACACGGAGGCTTGCCTATACTCTTACCGCGTAGCGTATTTTATTTTGACATTTTTTCTTTTTTGGGTATTTTGACAGACTATAAATTATTGGAATTTTTATTTAACGCTTATTTTTTCTTACCTTTTGAAATATCATATTGATATATCACTATAGAAGCAATTTTCTCAATGTACGTTGACATTTGAAATATTTTCTCCTTTGCTTTGCAAAACTATACGGGGTATTAAAAAAATTTAAAAGAATTAAAAGCAAGAGGTACTCTAAAAAATAAGAATGCCCCCTAGTTTAGCAGCAATGCAAATTTAACTTTTAAGTTCGTGGATATAAAAGTTATAATTAATAAAACAGTATCTATTTCAAACGTCAAAAATGTATGTTTGTTTAGAAAAACAACTTCATTATTAAATGAAACTCAGCTAAAATTTATGAAGACAGGAGAAAATAATACAAAAAAGAAACTAAAAATAAGTTTACATCTATTAGGTTTTCTTTAAGTATTAATTAGTGCTGACTACCGAAACGATACCAAAAATCCAAAATTTTTAGGTGATTTTTAAAAGGCTGTAACTTGGCGAAAAATGGTCGTAGAGTAATAAAAAAAGCAAATCGAATCTTGAAGTTCCAGATTCTGAAAGTAAAAGAAAGGTATAATAAAGAGTAGATTTTTTATTTTTTCTTCCCTTTCAGAAGGTCCACGGGAGTCAATAACTTTTTTGGCAATACTATCTGGCAGCTCTTTTAGTTTGATTCATCCTCTTTAATTTGAGCTATCCAACAGCTCTGTACGACGATTTGTCACTGAGTTACTGTCGTTTAAAGGCAAAAATGACCTTTTTGGCTTTGATAACACAGCTACACAAAAAAAGAAAATTTGTATTTTTCATGCGACATATGTTATCTGTAGTATTTTTGCCTCCTAATCACGAATGCGGTGTCAGAATTCAACTATCACATCACAGGAATTTCCTAACCTCAAAAAACAGGTAAAAAATAGCAAAAATTGGCCGACCAAATTTTCAGAAAAGAACAGAATCGCAGCAAATTTGGTATACGTGGGTTTTTGGGGTCGCTGATTACGTATTCGAGGTCAGAATTGCAAAATTCATTTTGTAATATTTTACTTTATAACCTGACCCAATAACCCAATCATGTGTTATTATACTTTTTTTCGGCTAAATCTTGTTCTTTTTTCTGTAAAAGATCTATTCACGGGTTGAATTTTGTAGATCTGGTCTCGTATTCGTGATCAGTGACCTCGAAAACCTCCGTATACCAAATTTGGCGCGAATGTGTTAATTTTTGAAAATTTGGTCGGCCGCCATCTTGAATTTTGCAAAATTGACCTCGAATTCATGATCAGCGACCCCGAAAACTGCCTTATATCAAATTTGATGCAAATGTGTTACTTTTTGAAAATTTGGTCTGCCATCTTGGATCCGCCATCTCGAATTTTCCAAAATTGACCTCGGATCCGTAATCAGCGACCCCGAAAACCCTCGTATACCAAATTTCGCGCGAATTTATTATTTTTTGAAAATTCGTGATATCTGACCTTAATAGACCCGTTTTTTTTGAGGTTAGAAAAAGAACCATCAATTCTGACCGCTAATTCACGTTTGGAGGGGTGTTAACTATATAAATGAACATTTGAATATAGAAAAAAAAAAATTGTCTATTTTTCCTAGCACTTTTTCGTGAATTTTTGCTATTTTTGACCTGTTTTTTGAGGTTAGGAAATTCCTGTAATGTGATAGCTCAATTCTGACACCGGATTCGGGATCAGGAGGGCAAAATACTACGGATAACATATGTTTCATGAAAAGTACAGACTACTTTTTTTGTGTGGCTGTGTAATTATCATAGCGTAGAAAATCTGATCAGGGTTTTAAAAACCTCTATAAGACGTTCTTATTATTTTTTGATGAAAAAAAAAATCGACGCAAGAAATTTCGAAATATGTGAAAATTTATTCAACACATACGAGATAAGTAACGGTACTAGTGCCATTGTGGTTGAGCAAAGCAATAATGTTTAAAAGTCTAGAACAATCACTGCTTACAAAGCAAAATTATCGATAAGACAAAAAACAATTTCATTATCCAACCACAGACAATATAGCTTATCGCTTATCCAACTAAAAATAAAACATTTTCATTTATTATTTTATAATTTCTTGTCCATAATTGCCCGATTTTGATTATTTTCTAGTAATCACTTTTGAAAGCTTTTATAATTTCATTTGCATAAAGCTCATTTTTGAACTTAAGTAGGTACTAAAAATATATTCACATTTTTCAAACATATCAAACAACGAACATAAAAAATTAATAGCAATATTTAACTGAAACAACTCTAATTTAGTACATTCCTGACCAAAATATGGAAAATATTTTTTATTATATTTTTCACACAGTTCCAAATTTCAAGATTCAAGTTTACCCTTAATAGGAACTAAAGAGGCTGTATTATATTTGTTGTACGTCAAATCAATAGGCGAATCATAATGTTTCACTGAATCAAATTGACGCTAAATATTTTCAATGATCTTAATATTACTATAATCATCTACTAAAAACATTTTATTTATTTCAGCTGAAACTCAAGGTAAATACAACAGTCTGCAGTGGCGCACAATTCACTTAGGCGGCCTATACCACCTTGAAGAAGAAATCAGCATGTCGACTACCGTACCCAATTTCATTGGCGATATCCAGCAATTCTATTTCAACAACATCCCCTACATCGAGCTGGCTAGGGCTCTTAGCACGGAACAGTCAATATCCGGTTTTCCCAGCATCAAGGTGGCCGCGAAGTTCGTGAAACACGCGACGGATAACCTACACCGTCCCGTGACATTTCGTTCAAAGCACACGTTTATCGGGTTGCCTATGCTGCGGGCATATTCCAGCATTCATATCGATTTCATGTTTAAAACTAGAGAAGCCAATGGTCTCATAATGTTCAATGGAGGGAAAAAGGAAGATTTTGTAGCTGTGGAGCTAGTAGACGGCCATATCAACTACGTCGTTAACGTGGGAGATGGAACCGTCACTCTACGCGACACGGTTCGAGCTCATTTAAACGACAACAGATGGCACACTGTCGGAATCAGAAGACCATCTGCGAAACAACATACCTTGATGGTGGATGACGACATAGTGGTAGCGGCTAACTTTGGAACAGGGAATTTAGAGTTGGATGGCATACTGTATCTTGGAGGCGTCTACAAGGATTTGTATGCCCAGTTACCGCAGGATGACGTTAAATCCAGGCACGGCTTTGAGGGTTGCATAGCTGGTCTGGATTTGAACGGGGAATCACCTAATATCATGGAGGATGCTGTGGTGCACAGTTCCCTGGTTACTGCTGGATGTGAAGGTATGCATAAAATAAGCTCAAATAATTTTTCAGTTTTATAGAAATCTAAAATGTGTAGAATAATTCAGGTTCTGTGAGCTCTTGGGACAAATAGTAATTTATTTTTGTTTGTAAGTCCCGTATTTACCTTAAGGGTACTTCTCTTCCAATTGACATCTAACATGTTTACTTTGACCTTACTTTTCATATACCTTCGTTCTTTCCTTAATAATTAGCTCTAGCTGCTTGCCTATAGTATAATTGCAGCTGCATGAGAAGTACACCATGCACTGCAAGTTGTTAGAGCCAGTTTTCTTTGCAATTTATTTAGCTCTGCTATACGACAGAACACAATAATTTTCTCTAGCTAACTTGCGTTGGGCATGACTTTAAAAGCTGCAGCCGCCACTGTGTTTACTTTGTTCTACGTTATTTCGATATGTTCTATCATTCTATTATTCCTACTTAGACATATGATACTTTAGCACTTCTTAGTATCTTTAACTGTTCCTCCCATCCCATTGAGGCTCCTTCGTCCAACTAAAATGACTAGTTTCGTTTTCTGTGGTTTAATTTGTAGCCCCTTTCCTTTGCTGTATCCACAGATGATTTGTACGTTATTTATTTTTATATTTAACAGTTCTCTATCCTTGAAAATTATTATAATATTCATTCGGTGAATGCAGTTTTGAGACCCCATTGCGTTCAAACAGAGGGCCAATTACCGATCTCTGGAATACCCCACTAGTACTATCTATCATATTTATTTTATTTTATTTTATTTTATTTTATTTTATTTTATTTTATTTTATTTTATTTTATTTAATACGCTGTTCAACAGGTACTACCTAATTTTAGAACAGGGATTTTACAGACAATAATAAAAGAAGTATATTAATTACAAACTAGAGCTGTCTAGGTATAGAAATGATAATTTGGTTATAAATTATAATTGATTATTAAATGATAATTTTTCATCAAATACAACGCCAAGGTGTCGAAATGTGTTCGGTCTTGACAAAACGTCATTATCAATGCTGTAATTAAAAATAATGCGATTGAACTTATTGGGGAATGACACGACATTACATTTTTCCGTATTTAACATTAGCCTGTTATTATTACATCAAGATTTTATATTAAGAACGTTTCGTTGAAGCTGAATACAGTCATTAACGTTGCGAACTGAGCTGTATATTTTCATATCATCGGCATGAAGAAAAAAAATTACATCTAAGTTGTTAGCTAAATCGTTAATGAATATAATGAACAGTAAAGGTGCAAGAATGGAACCTTGTGGAACTCCTGATGTAGCGACATACTCAATCGGTTATACCCATTATAAACTATATACTGTTTTCTGTTGTCTAAATAAGATTTGAAGAAATTCATTAAGGCCCCTGATACGCCAAACATATCAAGCTTCTGGAGTAAAATTGAGTGATCAAGCCTATCAAACGCCTTGCTGAAGGCCGTATATATGACATCAGTTTGTAAATTGTCTAAAGAATCTATAAAAACTGATCAAGTTAGTGACAGTAGTTCATAAAACCATGCTGACGAGGTTTTATGATATTAAAGATGTTATAATAAATATATATAGTCATGAAGTAATATTTCAAAAACTTTACAAAAATTACATAAAATGGATATAGGACGAAAATTAGTAATGTTAAATTTATCACCCTTTTAAAAATTGGACACACGTTTGAACGCTTCCACAAATCAGGTAACCGACACTCAGTTAGGCATAAGTTGAATAATTTTTTTAAGGGGCGAGAAAAACTCTGAGCTCAGTCTCTTATCAGAAACACGGGAACATATGTTTATTCTATGCACAATTTCCTATTTTCAACTTAAATACTTATTGTTTTTCTCAACGTGCCTTTGCAAGGTGCAGAGTTGAATGCGTTGTATACGTCTATGGTTAGACACCATAAAGCACAATTTTTGACTTCTTAGCTTCATGAGTTGGTATAGTTTACCAATTGTTGTAATCTGTTCAAGGCATAGACTGTTGACCTCGTTTTTCGGAAACCATACTGATCGTCAGCTAGTCCATCATTTTCAATAATTTCCTTATATATAAATAATTTATCTTTAGCTGAACATTCCATGATATAACTAAGATATAATAAACCCTACTTGCACCTAAATATCTAATCAATTTGTACTTGAGCAGCAATAAACGGTTCTATCAAAAGAACTCAAGACACAAAATCTTTTGCTGTCATACGCTATATTTCACCCTGTCTAAAATAAATTGTAATAAAAAAGTCTAATTTTCTTGTTTACGTTGATATTGTTAACAAATTGTTTCTAAATCTTTTCCGCAAGACGATGGATGTTCTTTTAAAAATGACTCAAAAAATTTGTCAGTCGATTCTGTAACAAATATTTGCCAAGGTGTTTAATAATGAGAATAATATCCGGAGAAATTCAACTGAACTTATTAACGTTTCTAATTAAATACAATTTATGGGAAAAAATATTTACGTATTTTCATGGCAATCTAGTTAGAAAGAGTGAAAAACAATGATTTAATAAGTTCATAAAAGAAGGTTGAGAAAAATAAATATTAACTTAATGCTGGGAAAATAAAATTTTTTCAATCCTTTGGCAAATAAATATAAATTTCTTCTTCGGTTTTATCTTTTTGTGTTTTTCACGGCCCGTTTTTATTTTGACTTATTTTGAAAACATATTCGTTGCTGTTATTGATAAAAAATTGCTAATCTTTAGATATTCATACATTAACTTTCTAAATTATTTTTCATTCTTACCTGTGAATTTCTAAGCATACCTACCCATGTAAACATTATGTAAAACAACTTTGTATACAAATTAATTTAATTAATGTTAAAGTTTTTCATGTGTACAGGATTAATAAACTTAATAAAAGTATAATCTTTCCACTGACTTACTATAGGTACTGGTACGATGAAAATATTTTCTGTTTACAAGTATTGGTGCACACTAATTTGGAAATCGTTATATAAAAATGTGCAGCTAACTGGGAGTCCATTAGTTCACTCTTACGGATTTGATGACACAAATATGATAAAACGTGAGCGATGTATTACAAACACCCAAAACAATATTGCGACAACCAATGTGGGCTTCAGTTTAGCTAAATTCTTGATTTTTACTCTGTGGTGCAGTTGCGATAAAATTTAATTTATCCAACATTTGCAGTTTTATTTTAATGGTTGGTTTTTAGAGACACATCAAATTTCTGTCAGTAATGTCTAAATATACATTGGACTTGAATATTGAACATATTGTATTTACATTAAAATGAAAAGTTGCATTGTGAAATTAGATTTCTCTATTAAAACTAATACAAGTGGACTTATTTTCTTTGTGAGATATCATTGTAGTTGTAACCGTAAATTAAGCAATAATAGAGGCAGTGTCTGCATTGTTGACAAAATGTTTTCCCAATCCTGATTTTCTGTTGATTTTCGATATCCTTCAACTGCTTGATCGCTTTTCCAACTTTCAAAACCACCAACTCTTCCAAAGTAATGATGTCTGCACCAATATCTGCTAAGGTAATAGCTGCTGACCTCCGAAATAAATTATTATTATGGTATGTTTCTGGATTTTTTGCTTGCAGGAATCTGAGAATATTTGTAGATATTTTTTTCTAAGAGATGGATGCCTACAGTCGGCTGATTGTTGCTTTCTGCGGAAACAAATTTAGGTATTTTCGATAAAACTCTATTGAGCTAGCACCATCCACAACATCATGAAGGATCGATCTTTGTGCGTTTTTGTGAATGGGAGTTGAACTTGTAGAATATCACTTCTTGCTCTATGCACAACTTTACTAGTTCGTTACATATGTAAGCACAAGCAACAGCAGAAATATAAAGCTATAATTTAGTGCAACAACTAAGAATAAGTAAACAATACACATTCATCGATGAAAAGTTATCATCTGATGCGTCTATAAGAAATTTATCTTGAAAAAAACGACAATTTTTTTGTTAACGTAGATTTGAGCATTCAATTGGACATAGTCAAAGACTTGTATTTCTGTGACTAATCACATAATCAAGGATTGCAATTTATTAACGTATTAACAATAATTTGCTTACCAATGTTTTGTAAACAATATGCCAAGAAAACTTCTTCCGAAATTGTTTGTACTGCATTTTTGTCTTCTAAGCTTGGAGTAACGAATATTCCTTATCGTAAATTTCTTTAAATTTTGGCGGAAGTAATAACAAAGATTCAGCTTCGGCTTCTAGTCGAACATTTTCTGCCAAAGATTCCTCGCGTTCTACACGCTCGTCAAAAGGAAAATTAGAAAACTTGTTACTTGTCAACAACTATCCACAATGACTGACGTAAGCAACCACCGTACTGTGAGATCTGGAAATACCATTCAATCCGGGATGGAGCTTTATAATTCGACCAAAATGCCACTTTAGTTGAGGCGTTTGCTTATTTTTAATAAGAACCATCATACATTCAATTGTTACATCTTTGATTCCATTTTTGGCGTTACTGCAAAGTATATTCCCAGGACAACCAGAAATGCTGATATGCTGCAAAAATTTTCAGCCATTTAAACGATTAATTTTCAATAAAGTTACGTCGATTTCCGCAAGAGACAAAAGTGCCTCTAATAATAATCCGGGGTTAAAGGTGATACATCATTAGGATCAGAGCCACTTGCATAAAAGACAAGAATTCTACTTGAAGAAAATAGGGTTTTCCTTCGAATATAGTAAACTACCACATCTTTTTGATATCCTCCCTATTTCTCAAATTTGATAACAGTAATACTATGCAAAGATATAAAAAAATTTTAATAAATACAGTCATAATTGACACAACCGCAGTTTCCTTCACAATCAGTTTCATGAGTAATCAACGGCAAAATTGTGTATTTACTATTTATAATGTTGAAATTGCCGGACAGAAACTTCCTCGAATCGCAGAGATATAATTTTGAAAAAACATATCGGGTGTGAAAGTTTTATTTATAATATTCACATTTTTCTGATCTT